CACTCACAGTTCGTCGGTATATGTATCAAACCAAATTGCTTGAGTTATATCAGTCTCTTGATATTCTTACACTATTTGCGGCTTCGGCCTTGCCTTGCACGCACTCTGAGTGCAATGGAAATCTGTTTTACGGACTGGTCCTGATATGCTGGTGATTAGTCTTACTGCCGCCGGCACCGTTGCGTATGCGCCGTTCTGCAATCGAAGCTCGTGCTGCGAACTGATCAGGTGCCAGGATATTTGCAGCGCCATGAGAGACTCCCTCGGGAGGACTCTACACACACACATACTTTCTCAAACACACGCTTTCACTCTCACTCACTCTCTATGTGTGTATTGATAATAATGATAATAATTGTGCATATATACATAACATATGTCTCAGTTGCAACTGAAACGACTGCTCTTGTCACTGTCCTCCAGCGCGTTTGAAGTAGCTAACGCCGCGCACGACACGTTCAGCGATGCGTTACTCCTTCTACTGGAGGTCGTCCTTCACTTCCTAGGGAAGCTCTCTTCCGTCACGTGCCGCTTTCAGGTACACGAGCGGCTCTATTCTTGCCTGATTCCTCTTCCGGTTTCAGAGCGACCTTGGGCGTTCGTCTCTGTCTCCTGGACCTCTTTCATCTTGGGATCGACTGCCTCAGGCCTCCAGTCCGGGTTCCTCCTCCTGGGCCTCCAGTCCGGGTTCCTCCTCCTGGGCCTCCAGTCCGGATTCCTCCTCCTGGGCCTCCAGTCCGGATTCCTCCTCCTGGGCCTCCAGTCCGGATTCCTCCTACTGGGCCTCCATTCCGGATTCCTCCTCCTGGGCCTCCAGTCCGGATTCCTCCTCCTGGGCCTCCAGTCCGGATTCCTCCTCTGGCCTCCGGATTCCTCCTAGTCGGATTCCTCCTCCTGGGCCTCCAGTCCGGATTCCTGATTTCCCTCCTAGTCCGGATTCCTCCTCCTGGCCTCCAGTCCGGATTCCTCCTCCCGGGCCTCAGTCCGGATTCCTCCTCGTGGGCCTCCAGTCCGGATTCCTCCATTTCCTTTCCTGGCCCTCCAGTTCGGATTCTCCTTGGGCCTCCAGTCCGGATTCCTCCTAGTCTGGGCTCCAGTTCGGATTTCTCCGCCTGGGCCTCCAGTCCGGATTCCTCCCCCCATCCGGATTCCTCCTCCTGGGCCTCCATCCGGATTCCTCCTCCTGGGCCTCCAGTCCGGATTCCTCCTCCTGGCCTCCAGTCCTCCTCCTCCTGTCCAGTCCGGCCTCCAGTCCGGATTCCTCCCCCGGTCCTGTCCCTCCCTGGGCCTCCAGTCCGGATCCTCCTCCTCCAGTCCGGATTCCTCCTCCTGGGCCTCCAGTCCGGATTCCTCCTCCTGGGCCTCCAGTCCGGATTCCTCCTCCTGGGCCTCCAGTCCGGATTCCTCCTCCTCCATTCCGGATTCCTCCTCCTGGGCCTCCAGTCGGATTCCTCCTCCTGGGCCTCCCAGATTCCTCCTCCTGGGCCGGATTCCTCCTCCTGGGCCTCCATTCCGGATTCCTCCTCCTGGGGATTCCTCCTCCTGGGCCTCCAGTCCGGATTCCTCCTCCTGGGCCTCCAGTTCGGATTCCTCCTCCTGGGCCTCCAGTCGGATTCTTCTCCTGGGCCTTCCATTCGGATTCCTCCCTGGGCCTCCATTCCGGATTCCTCCTCCTGGGCCTCCAGTTCGGATTCCTCCTCCTGGGCCTCCAGTCCGGATTCCTCCTCCTGGGCCTCCAGTTCGGATTCCTCCATTCGGATTTCCTGGCTGGGCCCGATGCCTCCTCCTGGATTCCTCCTCTCCCCTCCAGTTCGGATTCCTCCTCTTGGGCCTGTACCCTCCCTCCTCCTGGGGATTCTCCTGCCTGGGCCTCCAGTCCCGGATTCCTCCTCTGGGCTCCATGGGTTCCTCCTCCTGGGCCTCCAGTCCGGATTCCTCCTTCCTGGCCTCCAGTTCGGATTCCTCCTCCTGGGCCTCGGATCCGGATTCCTCCTCCTGGCCTCCAGTGGATTCCTCCTCCTGGGCCTCCAGGATTCCTCCTCCTGGGCCTGTCATTCGGATTTCCTCCTCCTGGGCCTCCATTCCGGATTCCTCGCCTCCCGGGGGCCTCCAGTCCGGATTCCTCCTCCTGGGCCTCCATTCCGGATTCCTCCTCCTGGGCCTCCAGTCCGGATTCCTCCTCCTGGGCCTCCAGATTCCTCGTCTCCATTCCGGATTCCTCCGGCTCCAGTCCGGATCCTCCTCCTGTCCAGTCCGGAGAGAGAGAGAGAGAGAGAAAGGACGGGCTGGAATATTTCTCGAAATTGTCGTACGCATTTTTCTCGTGGACACATGGCCGGGCGGAAGGGTACTTCTTTGACACTGCGAGAAAGGATATGCCACTCACAGTTCGTCGGTATATGTATCAAACCAAATTGCTTGAGTTATATCAGTCTCTTGATATTCTTACACTATTTGCGGCTTCGGCCTTGCCTTGCACGCACTCTGAGTGCAATGGAAATCTGTTTTACGGACTGGTCCTGATATGCTGGTGATTAGTCTTACTGCCGCCGGCACCGTTGCGTATGCGCCGTTCTGCAATCGAAGCTCGTGCTGCGAACTGATCAGGTGCCAGGATATTTGCAGGGAGAGACTCCCTAGGACAACACACACATACTTTCTCAAACACACGCTTTCACTCTCACTCACTCTCTATGTGTGTATTGATAATAATGATAATAATTGTGCATATATACATAACATATGTCTCAGTTGCAACTGAAACGACTGCTCTTGTCACTGTCCTCCAGCGCGTTTGAAGTAGCTAACGCCGCGCACGACACGTTCAGCGATGCGTTACTCCCTTCTACTGGAGGTCGTCCTTCACTTCCTAGGGAAGCTCTCTTCCGTCACGTGCCGCTTTCAGGTACACGAGCGGCTCTATTCTTGCCTGATTCCTCTTCCGGTTTCAGAGCGACCTTGGGCGTTCGTCTCTGTCTCCTGGACCTCTTTCATCTTGGGATCGACTGCCTCAGGCCTCCAGTCCGGGTTCCTCCTCCTGGGCCTCCAGTCCGGGTTCCTCCTCCTGGGCCTCCAGTCCGGATTCCTCCTCCTGACCTCCTTCCGATTCCTCCTGGTGTTCCTCCTCCCGTTCGGATTCCTCTCTGCCTCCAGTTCGGATTCCTCCTCCTCCAGTCGGATTCCTCTCCTGGCCTCCAATCCGGATTCCTCTCCTGGGCCTCCATTCCGGATTCTCCTCCCGGGCCTCCAGTCCGGATCCTCCTCCTGGCCTCCAGTCGGATTCTCCTGGGCCTCCAGTCCGGATTTCCTCCTCCTTCCGGATTCCTCCTCCTGGGCCCAGTCCGGATTCCTCTCTCAGTTCGGATTCCTCTCTCCTCCAGTCGATTCCTCTCCTGGGCTCCCGGATCTCCTCTGGGCCTCCAGTCGGATTCCTCTCCAGTCCCGGATTCCTCCTCCTGGGCCCAGTCCGGATTCGGATTCCTCTCCTGGGCCTCCACCGGATTCCTCCTCCAGGGCCTCCAGTCAGGATTCTCCAGGGATTCCTCTCCTGGGCAGTCGGATTCCTCCCCGGTCCTCCAGTCCGGATTCCTCCTCCTGGCCTCCAGTCCGGGTTCTCCTCCTGGGCCTCCGGAGTCGGGTTCCCCTCCCTCCAGTCGGATTCCTCCAGTCCGGATTCCTCTCCTGGGCCTGTCGCCTCCAGTTCGGATTCCTCCTCCTGGGCCTCCAGTCCGGATTCCTCCCCCCGGTCCTCCAGTCCGGATTCCTCCTCCTGGGCCTCCAGTCCCTCCTCCCTTCCAGTCCGGATTCCTCCTCTGGCTCCAGTCCGGATTCCTCCTCCTGGGCCTCCAGTTCGGATTCCTCTCCTCTCCAGTCCGGATCCCTCCAGTTCGGATTCCTCTCCTGGCCTCCATTCCGGATTCCTCCTCCTGGGCCTCCAGTCCGGATTCCTCCTCCTGGGCCTCCAGTCCGGATTCCTCCTCCTGGGCCTCCAGTCCCTCCCTGGCCTTCCGGATTCCTCGTCCTGGGCCTCCATTCCGGATTCCTCCTCCTGGGCCTCCAGTTCGGATTCCTCCTGGGCCTCCAGTCCGGATTCCTCTCCCTCCAGTCCGGATTCCTCTCTGGCCTCCGTTTCGGATTCCTCCTCCTGGGCCTCCAGTTCGGATTCCTCTCTGGCCTCCAGTTCGGATTCCTCCTCCTGGGCCTCCAGTTCGGATTCCTCCTCCTGGCCTCCAGTCCGGGGCTCCAGTCCGGATTCCTCCTCCCTCCAGTTCGGATTCCTCCTCCTGCCCTCCATTCCGGATTCCTCCTCCTGGGCCTCCGGATTCCTCCTCCTGGCCTCCATTCCGGATTCCTCTCCTGGGCCTCCAGTCCGGATTCCTCCTCCTGGGCCTCCAGTCGGATCCTCCTCCTGGCCTCCATTCCTTCCTCTCCTGGGCCTCCATTCCGGATCTCCTCCTGGGCCTCAGTCCGGATTCCTTCCTCCTGGGCCTCCATTCCGGATTCCTCCTCCTGGGCCTCCAGTTTCGAATTCCTCCTCCTGGCCTCCAGTCCGGATTCCTCCTCCTCCTCCAGTTCGGATTCCTCTCCTGGCCTCCAGTTCGCGGATTCCTCCAGTCCTCCTCCTGGCCTCCAGTCCGGATTCCTCCTCCTGGGCCTCCAGTCCGGGTCCTCCTCCTGGGCTCCATTCGGATTCCTCCTCCTGGGCCTCCAGTCGGTTCTCCTCTGCCTGGGCTCCAGTTCGGATTCCTCCTCCGGGCCTCCATTCCTCCCTCCTGGGCTCCATCCGGATTCCTCCTCTGGGCCTTCCAGTCGGATTCCTCCTTCTGGCCTCCAGTCAGGATTCTCCTCTGGCCTCCAGTTCGGGTCCTCCCCAGGGCTCCAGTCAGATTCCTCCTCTTGGGCCTCAGTAAGATTCCTATCCTGGGCCTCCAGTCGGGTTCCTCTCCTGGCCTTCATTTCGATTCCTCCTCCGGATTCCTCCAGTCCAGATTCCTCCCCGGTCCTCCAGTCAGAATTTCCTCCAGTCCGATTCCCTCCTGGGCTCCAGTTCGGATCTCCTCTGGGCCTCCAGTTCGGGATTCCATCCTGGGCCTTCCGGATTTCCTCCTCCTGGGCCTCCAGAGTCCTCGGAGTCCTCCGCCTCCAGGGCCTCCAGCTTCGGGTTTCCTCCTCCTGGGCCTCCAGGTTCGGATTCCTCCCCTGGGCTCCAGTCCGGGTCCTCCTCCTTGGGCCTCCAGTCCGGATTCCTCTCCTCCTGCCTCCAGTTCGGGTTCCTCCTCTGGCTCCAGCGGATTCCTCCTCCTGGGCCTCCAGTCGGATTCCTCCTCCTGGGCCTCCAGTCGGATTTCCTTCCTGGGCCTCCATTCCGGATTCCTCCTCCTGGGCCTCCATTCTCCTCCTGGGCCTCCAGTTCGGATTCCTCTCCTAGGGCCTCCTCCTCCAGTCCGGATTCCTCCTCCTGGGCCTCCAGTCGGATTCCTCCTCTCCTGGGCCTCCAGTCCGGGTTCCTCCTCCTGGGCCTCCAGTCCGGATTCCTCCTCCTCCCGGGCTCCAGTTCGGATTCCTCCTCCTGGGCCAGTCGGGCCTGATCCAGTCGGTCCTCCTGCTGGCTCCAGTTCGGATTCCTCGGGCCTCTGGATTCCTCCTCCTGGGCCTCCATTCGGATTCCTCCTCCTGGCCTCCAGTCCGGATTCCTCCTCCTGGGCCTCCTCTCCGGATTCCTCCTCCTCGCCTCCAGTCCGGATTTCCTCCTCCTGGGCCTCTCCCTCCCCTGGCCTCCAATGGCTCCAGTCCGGATTCCTCCTCCTGGGCTCCATTCCTGGATTCTCCTCCTGGTCCAGTCCGGATTCCTCTCGTCTCCTGGGCCTGCCAATTCCGGATTCCTCCTCTGGGCCTCCAGTCAGGATTCCTCCTCCGGGCTCCAGTTCCGGATTCCTCCTCCTGGGCCTCCAGTTCCGGATTCCCTCCTGGGCCTTGTCCATTCCTCCTGTGGGCCTCATTCCGGTCCGGATTCCTCTCCTGGGCCTCCCTCGGATTCCCTCCTGGGCCTCCAGTCAGGATTTCCTCGGATTCTGGCCTCCATCCGGATCCTCTCCTGGCTCCGGTCCCAGTTCCGGGTTCCTCTCCTGGGCCTCCAGTCCGTGGTTCTCTCCTGGCCTGGCCTCCAGTCCGGATCCTCCTCCTCCTGGGCCTCCCAGTCTGGATTCCTCCTCCTGGTTCCTCCAGTCCGGTTCCTCTCTGCCTCCAGTCGGATTCCTCCTCCCGGGCCTCCAGTCCGGGTTCCTCCTGGGCCTCCAGTCCGGATTCCTCCTCCTGGGCCTCCAGTCCGGATTCCTCCTGGGCCTCCAGTTCGGATTCTCCCTCCCGGGGCCTCCAGTCCGGATTCCTCCTCCTGGGCCTCCAGTCCGGAGCTCCTCCTCCTCCTCCTCCTGGGCCTCCAGTCGGTTCCTCCTCCTGGGCCTCCATTCCGGATTCCTCCTCCTGGGCCTCCAGTTCGGATTCCTCCTCCTGGGCCTCCAGTCCGGATTCCTCCTCCTGGGCCTCCAGTTCGGATTCCTCCTCCTGGGCCTCCAGTTCGGATTCCTCCTCCTGGGCCTCCAGTCGGATTCGGATTCCTCTCCTGGCTCCTGGGCTCCAGTCCGGTTCCCTCCTGGGCATCCAGTTCCGGATTTCCTCCTCCTGCCTCCAGTCCGGATTCGGCCTCCAGTCAGGTTCCTCTCCAGTCAGGATTCCTCCTCTGGGCTCCAGTCCGGATTCCTCCTCCTGGCCTCCAGTCGGATTCCTCTCCTCCTGGGCTTCCAGTTCGGATTCTCTCTTGGCTCCGTCGGATTCCTCTCCCGGGCCTCCAGTCCGGATTCCTCCTCCTGGGCTCCTCCAGTCAGGATTCCTCCTCCTCCTCCAGTCCGGATTCCTCCTCCTGGCCTCCAGTTCGGTTCTCCTCCTGGCCTCCAGTCGGATTCCTCTCCTGGCCTCCAGTTCGGATCCTCCCCTGGGCCTCCAGTCCGGATTCTCGTCCTGGGCCTCCAGTCGGATTCCTCTCCGGGCTCCAGTCCGGATTCCCCCTTCCTGGGCTCCATTCCGGATTTGCCTCCTCCTGGGCCTCCAGCTTCGGGTCTCCTCCTGGCTTCTCGGATCTGGGCCTCCAGAGGCCTCTCCTGGGCTCCAGTTATCCGGTTCGCTTCCTCCTGGGCCTCCAGTTCGGATTCCTCCTCCTGGGCCTCCAGTCGTCCTCCTCCTGGGCCTCCATTTCCTCCTCCTGGGCCTCCAGTCCGGCCTGCCATTCCTCTCTGGGCTCCCCAGTCGGATTCTCCTGCGGCCTCCAGTCGGATTCCTCGTCCTGGGCTCCAGTCGCCGGGCCTTCCAGTTCCTCCTCCTCCCGGGCCTCCAGTCCGGATTCCTCCTCCTGGGCCTCTCGGATTCCGGGGCCTCCAGTTTCCGGATTTCCTCCTCCTGGGCCTCCAGTCCGGATTTCCTCCTCTGGGCTCCATCCGGATTCCTCCTCCTGGGCCTCCAGTCCGGATTCCTCCTCCTGGGTCCTCCAGTCGGATTCTCCGTCGGGCCTCCAGTCGCGGATTCTCCTCCTGGGCTCCAGTCCGGATTCCCTCCTCCTGGGCCTCCAAGTCGGATTCCTCCCCCCGGCTCCTCCAGGGATTTCTCTCCTTCCAGTCCTCCTCCTCGGGGCCTCCAGTCAAAAAGGATCGGGCCTCCAGTCCTTCCTCCTGGGCCTCCAGTCCGGATTCCTCCTCCTGGGCCTCCATCCGATTCCTCCTCCTGGTTCGGTCCAGTCCGGATTTCCTCCAGGATTCCTCCTCGTGGGCCTTCCATTTCCTCCTCTGGGCCTCTGGACCAGTTCGGATTCCTCCTCCTGGGCCGCCAGGATTCCTCCCCCGGATTCCTCCAGTCCGGATTCCTTCCCGTGGCCTCCCAGTCGGGTTCCTCCTCTGGGCCTCCTCCAGTCCCTCCTTCCTGGCCCTCAATCGGATTCCTCCTGCGGCCTGGATTCCTTCCTCTCTGGGCCTCCAGTACAGATTCCTCCTCCTGGGCCTCCAGTCCGGGTTCCTCCTCCTGGGCTCCCAGTTCGGATTCCTCTCTGGCGGCCTCCAGTCCATTTCCTCCCTGGTCGCAGTCAGGATTCCTCCTCTGGGCCTCCAGGTCCGGATTCCTTCTCCTGGGCTCCCAGTCCGGGTTCCTCCTCCTGGGCCTCCAGTCGGATTCCTCCTCCTGGCCTCCAGTTCCGGATTCCTCCGCCTGGGCTCGTCCATCATTCCTCCCCCGGTCCCAGTAGGATTCCTCCTGTCCGGATTCCTCCTCCTGGCCTCCAGTCGGGTTCCTCTCCTCCTCCTGGGCTCCAGTTCGGATTCCGTTCCTGGGCCTCCAGTTCCGGATTCTCCGCCTGGGCTCCTCCAGTTCGGCATTCCTCCTCCTGGCCTCCAGTCGGAATTCCTCCTCCTTGGCCTCCATCCGGATTCCTCCCTCCAGTGGGCCTCCAGGGCCTCCAGTTTCGGGTTCCTCCTCCAGGCCTCCAGTTATTCCTCCTCCTTGGCTCCAGTACAGATTCCTCCTGGCCTGGGGCCTCCAGTCCGGTTCCTCCTCCTGGGCCTCCAGTTCGGCATTCCCTCCTGGCCTACCAGTCCAGATTCTCCCCGGTCTCGCAGTCAGGATTCCTCCAGTCCGGATTCTCCTGGGCCGTCGGGTTCCTCCTCCTTTTCTCGCCAGTTTTTTTTTTTTTCCTCTTTTTCCTTCAGTCTTTTTTTCATGGCCTCCAGGGCTCCGGGTTTTCCTCCTGGGCCTCTCAGTCCGGATTCCTCCTCCGGCCTCCAGTTCGATTCTCCTCCTGGGCCTCCTCCTGGGCCTTCCGATCCTCCTCCTGGGCCTCCAGTCCGGATTCCTCCTCCCCCAGGGGATTCCCCTCCAGTCCGGATTCCTCTCCTGTTCAGTCGGATTCCCCCTGGGCCTCCAGCGGATTCTCCTCCCGGGCTCCAGTCCGGATTCCTCCTCCTGGCCTCCAGTCCGGGCCTCCAGGGCCTCCGGATTCCTCCTCCTGGCCTCAGTCCGGATTCCTCCTCCTGGCCTCCAGTCCGGTTCCTCCTCCTGGGCCTCCAGTTCGGATTCCTCCTCCCGGTCTCGTCCTGCCAGTCCGGATTCCTCCGCCTGGGTCCTCCTTTCCTGGCCTCCAGTTTCGGTTCCTCCTCCTGGGCCTCCAGATTCCTCCTCCTGGGCCTCCAGTCCGGATTCTCTGCCCCTGGGCCTCCTCCTTCCTCCTCCTGGGCCTCCAGTCCGGATTTCCTCTCCTGGGCCTCCAGTCCGGATTCCTCCTCCCCTGGGCCTCCAGTCCGGATTCCTCCTCCTGGGTCCTCCAGTCGGATTCCTCCTCCTGGGCCTCCAGCCGGATTCCTCGGGCCTCCAGTCGGGTTCCTCTTCCTGGGCCTCCATTCCGGATTCCTCCCTCCAGTCCGGATTCCTTCCAGTCCGGATTCCTCCTCCTCCAATTCGGCCTCCAGGGCCTCCAGTCAGGATTCCTCCCCCTGGTCCTCCAGTCCGGATTCCTCCTCCTGGGCCTCCATTCCGGATCCTCCTCTGGGCCTCCAGTCCGATTCCTCCTCCTGGGCCCATTCCGGATTCCTCTCCTGGGCCTCCAGTCCGGGATTCCTCCTCCTGGGCTCCAGTTCCGGATTCCTCCAGTTCGGATTCCTCCTCCTGGCCTCCAGTCCGGATTCCTCCTCCTGGGCTCCAGTCTGGATTCCTCCCCCGGTCCTCAGTCCTTCTCTCCTGGCCCTCCAGTCCGGATTCCTCCTCCTGGGCCTCCAGTTCGGATTCCTCCTCCTGGGCCTCCAGTCGGATTCCTCCTCCCCGGATCCTTCGGTTCCTCCTCCTGGCCTCCAGTCCGGATTCCTCCTTCCTCCAGTCCGGTTCCTCCTCCTGGGCCTCCAGTCCGGATTCCTCCTCTCCTTCCTGGATTCCTCCTCCTGGGCCTCCATTCCGGATTCCTCCTCCTGGGCCT